CAAAAACTACCCAACGATATTTAAAATCAATACACAAAATTCTTCAACAAATCCTAACTAATGAGAATATTCTGAAACGAATTTTCTGCGCAACCGATTCATTACTTGACGCTGATCGATGAAAAATAACACAGTTTTTTTATTTTGATGATACCTGCTCAATTTCTAGTCGAATTAATATATTTACAGCATCGGATCGCTTATATTTTACTAAATTCATGAAATTAACATCCATTTGAAACGCCAAACGGGTGAATGGTTCAAACCTACTTCGATGTTATTCAATGCGATGCCAACCATATATGAAGGGTTATCAGTAGGCATAAAGGCAGCTTGTGTACCTGAGCACGCATATGCGTACTGGTAAAAACTTTCAACATCCATATACTGAGTCGCTGTTGTATTCGTTCCTCCATGTAATGTTACAGCCTTCAAAAAATTTGTATTCGAACATTCTCAAATTAAGCATTATGAATTGAGTTCCATCACAAAAGCTTAGGGAAAATTCAACTCTGTTTTGGAAAAGAATCAAAGTATACCTCTTTCATGAACTCTGACTGTGTTGTTCGTGGTGGTGAAATTGTCAGGTCTGAAAGCATCGTAACGCGCACCAATTTCCAGTAACCTGTATATGAGGCATTGAAGGTCAATCTGAAGTTAACATTTCACTGAGATTTTGAGTTCTTTTTAGAAAAATCAAAAAAATTTCAAACACACTAACAAAGAAAATGTCGTTTCGAAAGAGAATTTCCTCTTAAACTTTTTTGACAACCTCATTTAGCGTGTATGTGCAAAGAACATGAGAAATCAAAGCAGATTCCTTTCAAGTCTTTCCTTTGAAAAATATGCTAAAGAGAATAACCATACTCAAAAAAGATCGGCTGGTTAAGGATCGCAAAAACTGGAACTTTATCATATTTAGCGATCGATTCATTCACCATTATGTGTATTCGGAACCTGCAAAGCACCTTTCTTCTCATGACCAGTAAGCAATAGATTATAAACAGTTACATATCAGTACGTTATGTGATTCAGTTATGCGTTTTGAAATCTCTCCTTACAATTAGTAAATGCATCCTATATTTTAGCAATAAATAAAAAAAAGGGATGAAAGACCAACTTGGCAATACCGACGGTATTATTGCTAACATTACAAGAGACATAAGACGGGTCCCAAGAGAAGGTTGCATTGGTATAATCAATAACGAGATTACGGAATTTTCGATTACCACCCTCATCTTTCATTACAACAATATTGACTGCATCCATATAGAGAAGGCAACGGTCGGTTGGGATCGGTATAAATTTTAATCCAGTGACATTGACTGGTGGCAACACAACTGGCATTTGTAAGCCAGTTACCAAGTTAGTTTCAGTCGCCTAAACAAATTGTTAAACCAATAATATTCAACTGTAAAGCTGGTTGTGATACCCACACACAATATAACCACATCAACAAACATGCGTCATTCACCGTATTTCTATGGAATAATAAATCAAAAATAAACGTTCGCATTTTAGAATGATTACGAGAAATATTGTCGAAATCTTTAAAAAGGTTTTGGCAGATAACAGCTAACAAGTCTACACGCGCCACATAATAAAACACGTGCCACGGTACAACATCCACTGACAACAAACACTGATAAAGTATTTATGCGCACAGCTAAGAGAGTCCATGCATGCTCAAGAAAAAACTTTATCAACTCGACAGGATTTGCGGTGATAATTTCAACTATAAGATTAATTAACCATCAATCATATCTTCTTATTAGATAAGTCACTGGCTATTACACACGTATCATTCTAACGAAATAGTTTTCAACTGCATCAAGCAGAAGTTATATAAGGCATCAGGAAGAGATGAAATGTACGACAATGCATTGAAATGCGACTATTCTTGATGAACAACTGAAGCCTGAGAGCTTTTAAGTGAGCTAACACTCCACAGAAAACTGAACGATTTCATTACAGTTTACGAACAAACCCGATATCGACTGCGATAAGACGTTTTTCGGCTACTGCCCGTTCGGCCACCATACTTTAATTGTTCATTTTGAAAACCCTTCTTAACAATTCATTCGACGACTTTATAAAACACATTCCTAGCACTCAAAATTAAATCTTTCACTCAAAGTTCAGTTTCAGAGGCAATAACTTCGCTATAAATTCGTAATACTCAATAATAAGTAAGCGTTAGCGAATTGCATTTTATTCCTTTCCATTAATTTCCAACACTGATGATGGTATTGAAAATGCATCGAAACAATTTTAACATACCCCGAATTTTGCTGCTTTCATTTTTCCTTTAGGTCGTTTTGGTTCATTGGCTGGCTCTTCCTCCTCATCAAAGTTGACATCGGACGAAACAGATACACGCTTTTTACGTCGCTCAACCTGAACTCATTTAAATAAGGTAAGGGTCGAGAACTCTTTCAAAATGGAGTCAATGCAATTGTTGGTGGCAATTGTTGAGGTGATTTGTGTGAGCAGTGATGCAATGTGAACAGTGACTGTATGACTGCGAGATGAAGTACTGTTGTAAAATAACATGCTCGTTTTGGACAGAAAACACATTTCTGTGTACGGATGATGGATGAAATGATGAGATTCCGCCTTCCTCATCAATATCTTCCACCGTTTCGTATTTGCCCAAACTCACAAATAACAATTCACCGAGCAGAAAACATACCAGATTGGTGGAGAACGCCTCACTTGATGTAATTATCGAAGTAAAAGGTGTCTTTAAATCTTTTGCGACTTGTGGCTCCAGTTGCTCCACTTCTTGCCAAGACGTCAAATGAAATACAGCCAACGGTTTATCAGCAACTTCTTCAGCCCTCTGCACAAGTGCTCCTTGCGGTATCTGAAGTAAAAAAGTATAAGCATATAAATCTAGTTGGTGTTCTTATTGTTTGCTTATTGCTTATG